GCGCTGATCACCCCGAGAACACCACGTCCTCCCTTTGGTCTTTGCGTGACGGGAGACGGCAAAAGCTCAGGACTGAAGAACTACAGAAAAATCCAGAGCTGCACCCCGATGCCCCAAGGCAAGCAGCGCCTCCGCACAGCTCCGTGGGCTGGCAGGCGTGAGAGGAGAAAGGCGAACGCCCCGGCATTAATAACAATTAGAAGGCAGCTAACGCGTATGCAAAGCGGCTGGAGAGTGAGTTAGCTCCTGCCGCCTCAATTTTGCCATGCCCAGAGCCCATCGGTTCAGACCGGTACCTGGCATCTCTGAGCGCCCCGGTCGTCCCTCCGTCCCCCAGCCCTCTCGAGGGGCCGGGCGCGCCGAGGCCAAGGGCTCGCTACCGACACACACAGTGGGGTCAAGGCTCAGCTCTCGGGACAGGAGCCTGGCCCAAAGGCAGGCAGCAGAATAAAACCCAATTGTTCAGGTCTTGGGGTGTTGCCACTCGAGCTGGGACTCAGCCCCATCAGCTGGCAGCGATTTCTGCTCAGTTCTCTGCACCGGGTGACGAGCTTCAAGCTGTAAAACAGCAACGAGGATACCCAGGCAGAGTCCCTCTGAATACGTGAGCCCGAGCACTTCAAATTTATGTCCCAAATCTCTGTTCGGATTAAAAGTAACTCTTCAGCTTTCCATCTGCACAAATGCTATGAAGGAGAGGAGGGGGTCAGTCAGCCAATTTATCTTTCAAATAGGGGATAAAAATTGACTTGTCATGGCAGAAAATTCTACCAAAGACTATTATTGTTGATTGATTTCTCTATGACAGAAGGTCAGATAAGCAAGAGCAGATAGATACCAAAGATAATGAACTTCCCCCTACTAGCATTAAGCACAAATAAAATATGAGTCCCTGTAAACCGAATGTTACGTGAAGAATGGAACAAAAATTCCAACCTTTCCAGGGTGTCCTTCAAACCAAATTCACAAATACATCTAGTGACTGACCTAGCGTCTCTACATCTCTAGCTACGTTCCTACCTTCTCATAATACCTGAGTTCGCAATGCAACACATTCACTTTACCCTGTTTAAAAAACACAAGTCGTTAGAGGACTTGGTGCAGAAGGTGTTAAGAATGACTGTCCAGTGAGCTGGATTCTGGTTCGGTACATCGGCGTCGTCCTTACTTGTCGGTGTAGTAAGGCTTTTCTACTCCCTACAGCAAATGGGTCATTTGGTAATGGATACGGCCGCCAATCAACCTTTGCAACATTTGCTTTATACAATAGAAAGGAGCACATTCTTGTCCATTCGTCATCATAAGTGAATTTAGGTTTTTTGCTGATATTTATGGTTTTTTTCTGTTAATTTAAGTTTTCTGCTGCTGTTGGTACAGCATTGGTCTTGGGAGTCTATTTTGGATAAACACAGAATACCTAGTAGATTACTTTTGTGGGGTATTTGGCAATAAGATGACCACTTTTATGTACACTAATTAAAACAAAACTCTTATTCATCCACAGATTATAGTAATTCAGTAACTGTAGAATAAAATTACTCCTATGCAATTTTAACAATTCCTTGAGTGTATAAAACAGCAAGCCAGAAGATAACCCGTAATAAAAAGATCGTATCAAGCTATCTGGAAATTAAACTTAAAAGCTGAGAAATACTTCCTAACTTACAGACAGATACACTAACATCTTCCCATTTACACTTGAGGTATAGGCTGTATGCAGAAGGCTTTCCTGAGAAATACGCGCTTGTCTCATTTTACAGTCAGAAGGGAAATGAGATTTACGGAACCGCCTTTGGACTGTGAAGCTCTATCAAGCTGACCTGCTGCTGGGCCCAGCAGCTGCTACCCGTAACATCCTATTTAAATAATGAAAAATGAGCAGCTAGCCGGCTTTCAGAAAAGGGAAGCCATCAAGCTGGAAGATGCCCAAGCGGGACTGCAGAGAAGGCGATGCCGGCGTGGGCCGGCGGTCAGCCAGCAGCGGGTCTCCGAGCAGCGGTCAGCGCCCGGGACGCGCGGAGCTGCTGACGAACCGAGAGACATGCCAAGGCAAGCGGGTCACAGTGTCCCCTGGGCTGCAAGCGAGGGAGCACCCGCGGGGCGAAGGGCAAGGAAAGACAGCTTGGGTGAATGAGATGCTTCTCCTGTTCACCATCACATTCACCTCACAGCAGCTTCAGCACCCAGTAGTACTCACTTTGTGCCACGCCGCTGTCACCAGGACAAGACAGAAAGGTAGCAACTGGTCCCTCCTACCCTGAAGGAACAGAAGTTGTCTCCCAAAATATTTTTAAAACAGCATTCCAACATTTGTTGATGAACCCGCTTGCTACACAAACGTCAGATTCATATCTAGGGATGCAGGGAAGGAAATCCAGCCAGGGCGACATGGCTGCCTAGGAGAATGACTGAGTCTTTGAGTGTTAATTCTAAATGAAGGAGATGGGAACAAGAGCATCTCATCCAACCTCCCCACCACCGCCCCAGGCCAGAAGCCATGAGGTTACTCATGAGAATACCCACATTTAGATAAACACCGGCACTTAGCAAATACTCAAAGAGCCAACCAGTTGTCATTTCGGTTGGACTCGATGATCTTAAAGGTCTTTTCCAACCAAATGATTCTATGATTAAACCAGTTGTCCGTGCAGTGGAGTGGTGTGGAGGTTGTGAGATGGAAAATCCAAGCCTTGCAACACCTAGGACAGAACAATTTACCAAGTACTGCATTAATACCATTTTTTCCTGGTAAGAAGGGGTACCACAAGCAGCATAACAGTCCTGGCAGGATACGACAATGGATCATGCATTCCCCGAATCCAGCAGAGAAAGCCATGCCAGAGGACACTGGAGTCCCCTACCCCATTACAGAGGTCCCATTTAACCACAGGGTATGTTAACTGTTCCCAGAATCGGGCTGCTTGGGACTGCTGCAATGCAGAAGCCTCCTCGGTAGTCAGATACCACCCTGGAGGCACACACTGAAAGGGGCAATCCTGCCTCCTCTCTAAGTAGGTTTTTCCTGCTTTTGTGAACCTAAAATGGATGTTAAGGAAGCGATGAGAAATTACGCGCAGTTCTCTAGCAACGAGAGTACCTTTGTATAATGCCAGGAGCCTGCTACGAACTGCAGCAACCCAGTTTCAGTCGGATGGAAAGGTGTGCAGCCACAGCGAGAGGCCTGATGGTCAGGCTGGGGGCAGAGCCCACTCCTGCAGCTCCCCGGAGGGGACGGGGACAGCGAGCCCCTCGCAGCTCGGAGGGATCCCGCTGGGGCGGGATTCAAGGAAACGGCAGGAGCTACCACCTGCATCTGAAAATGGCCAGGGGAAAAGAAACCAACTGGCTAGACAGACTCTTCCTTCTTCTCCACTCCCTGCCTTTTTACAATGATTACTATATTTAAAGAAAAGAAAAGCTTGGCACTTCTCTAACACCCACTTCTCCAAAATCGTCCATTTGGGATACTAACAGCTCTGTCAATATGGTGAGGCCGTTTGCTCTCTAGGACAAACGCTTTTGGATACAAATCACGGAAAGAGCAGCGCGCGAACAGCATCTTCTCCTTGAGGTAGTCTTAGTCATCTCGGTCCCCAGCCCCCAAAATACAAAAGAACTAACCCTAACAAACACTGTAACATTAAACATCTTCACATTCTGTAAACCGCTGGAGAATGCATCTGCTGCATTCATACAGAACCATGTGCATCGTGTTGAAGATCATACATTCAACTCTGTCGTGAAATAAATATATAGGAAAAAGAGTAAAAAAACAAAAAACAAACAAAAAAGATTCTTGCTACAATGGCAGGGACGCCCGCTTCCCCGTCTCCTGCCTGGATCGCGTTTGCCCCTCTCCCGAGGTGAGCCAGCTCCCTGCCTGAGGCACAGCGTAAGGCACCGGCCGGGGCGAGCTGGGCTCACTCTTTGCTCACGCTCTTTTTCAAAACGGCCTTAAAAAGGAGGGGCAGCTGCCCCAGGGGGACATTCACCATTTTTCCTGGTAAGAAAAAAAAAAAAACAGAATTAGCAGCCACTCCTGAATCAGATTTCAGAGACACCTAAGCCAGCAACGCTGGAGATGGTTTTACCTTGAACCTCTCAGAGAAACAGTTAATCATCCTACCGCTACATTAGACATTTGATATTCATTTGGACACAACAGGATTTATTATTTACTGAATCGAAAGCTAAATAAATGGGCAAAGTCAGATCAAAATGATTTCTCCACAATGGAGCAGTATTTATAGAAACTGGGAAAGGCTAAATCCCGACTCTCCTCAAACTCCCTCGTTGAGCTCAATGAGTAAATTACGAGAGCTACTCTGTGATTATTATCTAGTTTGTTATAGTGGAGTAGGATGAAGCATACGGAGCCTTGACATGGGGAGGCAAGTATCTCCCTTTGCCATAACATTCAGGAACAAACAACGTTTTAGTAACACCAGACCTTGCAGATCTAATTAGGGACACAACTGCATTTGAAAGTTCACCTGCGGATTTCAGAGGTCTGGACAAGCTGAAACCTGGGGGGTTACACTGCAGGTCTGCCCCCCCTCTCAGCTGCTCCTTAATTGAGCAGCATCTCAGAGATCTCTCTGTGTCTTAAGAGAGAACTACTCAAACCAGGATTACACCCCTTTAAGACAAAATGCCTCTGAGATGGGATTGAAAGGAAAAAAATAAAATGAGAACATGACCAAAGTATTTAAAGGTCAGAGCGAGGCACGCCCCCTTGGGAGCAGGGGACCCGGGAGCGGGACGTAACGCCACGTCCGCCAGTGGCGCAGGGACAACTTGCAAAGAGCCAGTGTGGCTGGGTGAGCTAGGGGTGACGGGAGGTGAGCTCAAAGCCAGGCAGAAGCTTCAACAGAAAAAGGTCCCGCACAAACATCCTCCACCGAAGCCGACAAGAATTTTGCGGTTACAAATTAATTTGCTTTTAAAAGCAAATTTTGTAATTTGCACATGATCCCCATGGGAGAAGAGCTCAGAAAGTTACCTGCAATATATCGTATCTCTGGCAAACACATCATTAAATCCGGAAAACGGTTTGGCTGGTGTGGGTATTTGTACTCCGTGAAATCCTGGCAAACATACCAATACCGCTTATTGAGCTGCTCCAGTTGGGACGCGTTGGTCAGACCCCTGATGTCTGAAAGAGAAGAACTGGAGTAATGAGGACATGAGAGAAGCATCCTAGAAGAGCAGCAGCCTCACGCTTATTGCCATTTCTTCAGGAAAGACAGATTGATTGCTAAAACTCTAAGCTGGGTCCCTGCTTCGGAGACTGGCTTCGAGTGGACAAATACTAAAATTCCCCGTCTCCCCTCCTGGCGTGCCCGCATCGCGGGTGTGCCTTTACACGTGTGCCTGGGTAGAGGATTTCCTCCCACCAAAGACCAGGATGAGAACAGCGAATGTCCTAAGCTGCTCATCTACAGAGCTCAACGAACACTCTTGGAGATAACAGCTCCAGCAACCTTAAATCCCCGCTGCCCGGGTGTAAAGCAGCTGTATGTCAAGGTTTAGTCCTCACAGTGGATTCAGCATAATACTTCCTCAGACAGAAACATGTTGGTTTTAGCTATATCATCTTGGCTGAGGAAAACGCTCAACTCTATAATTCAAGGTATCATCATATTTCTCCCCATCTGCTTATGAATTATGTCACATGAGCTTGTCAACTTCTTATTTTTAAATTTAGCTTTGCCAATGTCAGGCAACGTACACAAAGGAAAAATGGACATCTCCAAGCTATCAAACTGGCAGGCAGCCCCACTGCCACTGTTCAACGTGATCAATGGCATCAGCATGCTGCTGGGGGTCCTGGGAAGGATCCAGCGCCGTGCAGCAAGGAAGCTGCGGACCCTGGGTGCAGGCTCAGTATTGTAAGACCATCTGACGGAAGAGGCATTAATCTGCTGCCCAAAAGCTGACTTTTAAAAATAATTCTCAGGTATTTCACATAAAAAATTGCAAACTTCAACTAAAAATAAAAGAAGACAGGAAGTTAATGAAAATACATTTTGGAAAACAATGGAGACAGATCGAGAAGTGCATTATCCAGTGTCAGGAAACTGCCCAGGGAAGCAAACCGGAACCTCAGCCCGGCACAGATTGAAGCGTCAGCACTATCTCCCGCTGGAAGCGAGTGGGGGAGGAGAGAGCCTGCAGCACATTTCTACGGACTGCAACTATCTTTCATGGTACGAAAAGGCTTTGGGAACATTTATTTCCAAAATTACAGCCGAACACCATCCATTAAGCATTTGCCTCTCAACAGTTGTCTTCACTTAGAACGCGAAGAAATGTCCTGCGAGGCCCCACAGACCCGGCGCCACAACAAACGACCGGGAAAGGGGACCCACGAGCAGTGGATTGAGACAACGAGCAAGAGTGGAGACAGGGACGAGCACCACTGAGGAACAAACCCGATCTATTCCCAACTATTTCAGCCCACTACAGTTGTTAGGAGACGACCGGGATCTTCTCACGTGTTGAAGAATTACGCTGCGTGGATTTTGAAATGTCTAGGGTCTTGCAACAGACTGGACCGCCCGCTTTAATGGGCTGGTTGATCCACGGGAGGATTCAGTCCCTTCTCAGGCAGAATTCATTGCCTGCGTATAAATACTTCATTCACGATTACTTTCCACTTTAAAGAGCTAGCGTGAGGTATAGAATCTAAATAGCAGGAAGCCAACTAGGTGACCTAAGCATATATCCTGAAGGTAAACATTTTAAAGAGTCAGAAAAGCTCTAAAAAAAAAGAGAGGATTGGTTTTACAAATTCACCCTTTAAAGCAGAAAAATGAACAAAAATATATTCTAGTCGGGAATCTTTGAAAGGTTGTTATGCAAATAGTCAATGCTTACTTCAGAAAAAAAAAAGGCACTCAAATTAACTGGTTCTAAAGTATAATCTAGTTAATTGCCTAAATGGCTACCTGAAGCAGTAATACTTCTAGAGGACACCTTTCCCTGATGAAAAGTCCGTTAGCAGCTGGTAAGACATCTCACCCTAACCTTATCCAGAAAGGTTTCGCTGGCCTCTCTGCTCTGTTCCAATTCTGGTATCGGTACCGTTGGCACATGTGTAAAACAGCACGCTAACCATCCTGGTGTCTCTATTTAAAGGCGATAAAAATTGGCTAGGCAAATGAACTTGTTCGCTTCCAGGATTTCTTCAGGTGGGTACACAAGTATCCCGCTCTGTGTGGTGCTTGGTCTGCACGACAGTGAACACGTACAGAGAGGTTTCAGAGCCTGGGTCTCTCTGCGGGTCTCAGGTCCCTTCCTCCCATTTCTCAACAGGGAAGCAAAGGCTGCTCAGACTGTTTCAGAGAATTTCTACAGTGGGACCGAGAACCTCCTCTTCATCGACTCACCTTGATTTAGGAAGTTAATGGCTTTCATACACGCGTACTCCTCGTTGCTGACCTTCAGCTGGTTGAATTTGCGAAAGAGGTAGATCAACCGCTCCATCACCTCCATCCCCTCTTCACTGAATCTGGAGGACAGAGATCACACATCAGCGTATACAGGACACAGCCCGTGCAATAAAGGCAAGAAGCTTATCGAAATAACTTCAGAGATTTTAACGTCTTGCAAGAGAATTAAAAAAAAAAAATTGTCATCCGAACTGCTTGAAGTCTGCTGGCACCATTAATTTAAAGTAGTAGTAAGAAGGAAAATGACTCAGTTACAAACTTGGCTGTTACAGATATTTTAGCAAAAAAAAAAAAAATCTCTTGGTGATTCAGCTGATCGCCAGCCTGCTCTGACAGAGGAAAAGGTTTGGTGGAGCCAGGAACGTGCAAAAACTTCTTGCATGCTTGTAGGCACACTGCTTTGCCTCTCCATACTTGTATTTCCCTAGATTTCAATGAGGATTGTACCTTTGCACTTCGCTGGGCTAATGGGAGCTTTAACTAAGCAGTTTGGGGAATGAGGCAAGATTTCAGAGAGATGTGGAGTGATACTTGTCTTGTAGGACATGGAAATATCCTGCAAAACACCCGCTGTCAAGATGCAAGTGTCAGCAGGTATTCCCCATCTGCCTGGTGCTGCGCTGCATCTACCCACGGCAGAAAGCAGCTCGCAGCCGCGTTAGAGCACTGCGCCTTACTCCCGATGGATACTTCTGCAGGATAAAAGCACCTCTAGCAATCCTTGGAGTGCTTCCCCCCCAGAAGACAAGCCGCCCCCAGCAGCGTTCCACGTGTTCTCGCCCCTCGCTGCCTCGCACCTTTCTTCAGTTTGTGCTTCCCACCACTTGCAGCAGCCCGACGTACCCTGTGCTGGCCACCAGCAGAAACGCCGACGCATCCTTGGGGGCCTGGAGGTGTCCCCAGCAGCCGCGCAGCACCCTGCACCCCACCCCGGGAGATCTGGGACTGGTGCTGCCTTCCAGCACGTTACAGGGGAACCCTGTCTCTCTGCAACAAACACACCCCACCCGGCATCCAAGTCTGTTGGTATTTTTTATACAAACCCTTCCGTTCTACAAAGCCGATAAATAATTTTATCCCTTGCCTGTAGAATCGGTGCAACGCCCCGGCTGTGGCTCTGCACAGCACGGTTCCCTGTGCCAGCTGAACAGAGCGGCACCCAGGCGGTGCAGGACTGCAGAACACGGACCCTGCTGCACAGAAGCTCCCAGAACAAAGTCCATTTCCAACAGCAAAAGCACCTACAGTTTCTTGTATCTGTAGGCTGCCGTTGGAAATAACTAACCTTTTCTAAACACTGAGGAATTACACCAACCCGTGTACAAGAGCAACGCACACTTCATTTATTTGACAGATGGGAGAGGAAGCTCACCTCCCAAAAATTCCCAGGAGCGACTCTCAGAGATCCTGCACTTCCACACAGCCGTGCTTACTACCTGTTCCTTATGGTTTGTTAATTTTCCTTGGCCGAGAGCTTCTGGGGTGAGACCTACTGCAGGAAGGCTGGGATCCTTCTCACAAACACAAACACACACAAAAGCACAAGTAACCCATGTTGGAGGGAGTGAGGCTCAGGCTGTGGTTGAAGGGCGCAGTCTACGGGACGCGTGCCGTTGCCTTCTAAACTTTCCCCCTCGCATAGGACGTGCAGGATTCATCGCACTTAAGAAATGCTGATCAAGATCCAACCAGAAAAGCACTGCTGGCAGTGTGGACTGCCAGGGATCCTCCCCTGGGACCTGGCTCTGCCACCTCCACCCACCCTGGAGCATCTCACCAGCCACACTCACTTCTGGATTTGTACCGCTTGCTGAAAACAAGCTGCGCATTTCTGCAGAGCGTCCATACTTGCCAAGGGAAGCCAGCGACACAGGCGGGCGGGAGGGGGCACACTGATGCACAGGGAATATAAATCTCCCCAAAATCTCCTGGGAAACTGGCTGGTGGAGATTGTGGAGGTGCAGAACGAGGTCCTCCTGCAGAAGGGGGTGCCGGGCTGCTTCTTCATGAGCGACGCCCCGCGTCTGCACCACAAAAAAGCCGCGGTGAAAGCAACGGGCAGAAGCGGAGCCGGAGGGCACAGAGGGCTGCCGGTGCCCGTGGGCACGCTCCGGGACCATCCCACACGTGCCAACAGCCAGAACGGCCTCTCGGGAACGCATCTCACAGCAATACCCCTGGTTTCAAAGAAACCACATATTGCAAAAATGCTCAGAAGTGGGGCAGAAGTGTTTAGGGAAGCTTTAGCTGCGCTCTGGCATTGTGCAGCACAAAGAATAAGAGCACAGCCAGAAAGCCATCTTTGAATAGAACAAAAATAGAACCTTTTTCACTGAATAATACCTTATTTTGGCATGTGTGTTTGTTTACTTCAAAGTTATTTGTAAAATGCATGGTGGAGTTTGACCTCAGAGAAGTGAAAACAAGCTATCTGAACTCCAGGTCGCTTCTTCAAGAAAGTAATATTGTAAGTGATGAAAGCCTTGTCAGCTAATCTAAAGTTGTACAAGTTTTCTTGCTCTCAAGTTGACATTAAAAATCTCGCAGGTGCAAGATTGCAAAGCTCAAGAAGTTAATGAGCACAAAGACCACTCAGTCATCTGTTGGGTTTAATTGTTTTTAGAGCATGCACATTTTTACCAGCCACTCATCACTTCATAAATCCAGGAGAGCTCTTCTCTCATTCCTGCAGTTGAACTGTCTTACTTTTCCATGCATACTTTCCTCCCCCTTTCAAACAAAGCTGTTCTGTTTTTCACAGCCCTATTTCTTCTCGAGGACCGACTCCTCCACACACTTTTCCTCGCAGTTTACACCAGGCAAGTTTCTGGCTGGGAGTTATCGGGATCAGCTGGGGAGGAGGGGGAAGGGAAGCGCTATCAGGAGTGCTGGGGGAGGTCAGGAATCTATTAATTTCATATTCATCTCCAGAAAAACAGCACAATAAAAGAAAACATTTGATCTATCAGGCAAACAGAACATTTAGCCAGCTGTTAGAAGCGATTAAAACACCGGGGCTGGGGAGCTCATCCTATGCCTTCATTCATCACCTACCTAAGCATTAGCATTGCTCCCGTCATTTTGCTAAATAAGAACAGAAATTAACCCCAGAGCGCCAGACGATCACAGCTCAGCGAACTTTCTTCAACCAGCTGTGAGATGTAATGAACTTTGTTTTGCAGTCATTACTGATCAACGCCAGAGGAAACAGGGGCTCTCTGAGGAAACCCACAAGTCGGCCACCTCTCCCTCAGAGCCCCTCGCAAATCCGAAGGGACCAGCTATTCCATGAGTGCCTCGGACAGGGAGACCGACACCCATGAACTACCCCACTGCCGCCTGCAGGCAGTCAAGCTGTGGCTGAACTATCATAAAGACAACGGGGAGGGAGCCATGCAGCTCGAGACCCCTCATCTGTGCAACTTCCCGCTAAATGGCTTTTTTTGTGTGCATTTTCCCATGTTACTAATGACAATGAATGACACTTGAAAAGCTAAATCAGAAGAAGAGACTACAGAAACATTCCACTCCCAAGAACACCTATTTTCATCCATGTGCACAGATCTTCTCTGAAGGACTTTCGAGGCGACCAGCTCTGAATTGCCGGTTTCTGAAGGGCGAGGATTCCTCCTTTGTCTTGTTTTCTTACCTCTCGCTTGTATTTATCGCAAACCCAAAATGAAACAAACACTTCTCTTTTGAGGCTCTGACCAGGACAGCAGGAACAAAAGGGCAGCTGAATGCAGGAACAAGTGTTATTGTGGTTTTCTATGACCCTTACTGTTCCTCACAGGAGCAGCACCAGATGCACGATGAATGGCTGGGCAGAACAGCACCGCGGAGGAACCTGCCCCAGGAAATGAGACACCTGGGTCCAGCTCTTGGCCCCTCCACTCCTCCGCCATGCTCGTCAGCCAGCCAGCCCCTCCGGTTCTCAGAACAGATGCACAAAGGAACCTCAAAGAACCGTTAGATACCGCGATGGCTGAGGACCACAGCAGTATTTTAAATCTCTGCTCATCTTAGATCCCCTGGTGACTCTTCCAAAATCACCAAGCCTAGCAAGGGTGGAGCACAAACGGGGCAGATGTTAAAAGGGAGGGTGGGCAGCAGTTTCTGTAAATCCTACCTACTCTGCCATAATATTGTGAGATCGTGAGTCTACTACCGAAAGGAGGATCCATCTGGCACCAAGTCTACAAAACAAAACACCCAAACCAAAAAACAACACGCTGACCAAAATGATAAATGAAAGGCAGGTTCCTCAGAGCATCAGATAGCGCATATGATGGAAAAAACAAGAGCTAAGTTGCAACATCTTTAAATTTATGTAATCAAAACAATGAAATAGCAATTAATAACAAACCATTATGATAATATAGACAACCAGTTGTGTGAACAACCTTTCCACCGGACCAAAGGGTTTTTAAATAAGACCTTCCGTTCTGTATTTCAGGGTTACCCAAACCGCTGGCTAGTTTTACTCTCCCCATAAAAAAGGCGGTTTGTAGGGCTGTGCTGGAGGATGACAGCATTGCTACGGGAACTTCAAAAAGCACCGTACAGCACTGTGCACCTTCCCCCGCAGAAGGAAGTTCTGATTCAACACTGACTAACCACCGTGTACTTTCTAAGCCTGGAACAACCATTCCCTAAAAAACAGAAAAGGAAAACAGCAGCGAGTTGACCTGTTAGAGGTGGTTAGTTGGTCGCAGGGCACCCAACGGCTCCCCCATCCCTAATCTCGCTCCCTTACCCGCGGGCTCGGCCCAACGTCTCACCTGTGCAGCTCATCATCAGAGGGAGAATACTTGGAGGTGACGTCCGCAAGGTCACCAAAGATCTGCTTGCTGTAAACAGTCAGCGAGGAGAGCAGGATCAGCTCCTGCCACGTAGAGCTGAGCAGGCAGGTATAGTCCTTGATGGAGAGTTCGCAGAAGAACGGCAACTTCTTGATCCAAGCAATCTGCCTGAAAAGCAATTCATCCGCCAGACGACACAACAACGCAAACAGCTCTGCCTGAGTCACTTTGTACCTGCAGGCACAGTTAATATGAAGGCATAAAAACAATTAACAACATTGAATGACATCATCTGACAAGGCACTTGAAAAGCAAGGCAAATGCCACAGGAATTCGTGTTCAAGTGCCCAACTTGCCGGTGCCCAGAGTGTCACCTGGCGGTGGGAACCGTGATGACCAGCACCCAGCCTGCCCAGCCGCGGGGCAGCTCGGCCTCCCAGACAGCCCTGCAGCTCTCACCAGCAGACAGACTACCCTGCTTTTTTCCACCTATGTGTATTTTTCCAGCTACCGTGCTTATTAATTTTTGTACAGTTAATGCAACCTCAGGGCTGAAACCCATCGAGCCCGCTCCCGCACAGGCTCAGCCTGGCCACGTAGCCTGAAACCCCACGCAAGGTCCGCGCACGCCAGCTCCAGCCCCAGCCAAGGGCACAGGCCACCCACGGGACGTGGTCTGGTTTGCTGCTTGCATTATGGCTGTATCTTCTCCCAGGGGAGGTGTCCCCCGTGCCGATCGGGCCGTGAACACACGCACCCAGCCGCCCCCCTTGCTGTCAGCAACCTCTGCCGCACAAGCTGCAGCCATGTGTGCAGGCAAGGACAGCCGGACCCAAAAACCAGCCAGGAACATGCAGCAGCCCCTTGCACCACGTCGCGCACACTCACCCGTCCTCAATGAGCATTGGCGTGCTGAGTGGCTCCAGGTCCTCCGCTGACACCAACTGATTGATCAGACTGTGCGACTGGGGGTCCAGGCTGCGCGTCTGGGGGGGCATCAGAGCCGAGTGAGCAGAATAGCTAAAAAGGTGCGGGAGGTACTGATAGTGCGTGGACACCGGCGTCCCGATATACTGATCCCTGAGTGCAGCGAATCCGTTCAGCTCCACGGACCTACTGGAAAAGGAAAAGGTTTTTAATATACCCCCAAAATTCTCCCTGATGCATTAAAACATTGCATCCAGCTCCATCGATAGTATTAATAAAAATAGGGAGGAAAAAAACATTTTAAGCCCTACACTGGAAATAACTGAGAGCCTGCAGACCAGGCACCTTGCGCTTGCCTCGTGCTGAGCCTGGCTCGGTGCTCGTTCCGCTTAATGGAGATCTGGGAACTGCTGCTGAGCAGCCATTCCGAGAGTAAAACAGAAACCCGACTGCACAAACCACTTCCACTCCAGCTTCCCTGAAGGGCCAGCATTAAGATTGTAACTAAGAGTTTGCACAGCCACTGAACACAACATCTCCCAGCTTACAATGCAACCGAAAGCGATGGAACGCAAGTCTGAGGTTCTTGCTGTGCTTCCAGTCAAACGTGGCACTAACAGTAACTGCCGTTAACAGAACGCCGGCAGTTAGGAACCTAAATGGAGCGATTTGTTTGCAAAACCTGAGCAGAGTGGAGAAAAAGCAGCTTATACAGAACGAACAGTGAAAAGTAATCATGTTTACACAATCCGCAGACAAAACTATCAATACAAATTAAGAGATCTATTTTAAATATAATTTTAACTCAGCGCTGTCGTCTTTTTCATCCGCTCATAAGTATTTCACCTCCCAGCTCAATTCTTTTCAATCCAGTGCTGTCTTCCTCAAAACACAATTAGAGATGTGAGCATCTGCAGTACGCTCAGTTTACACGGAGATGCGCTCGCGGTGCGTTTTTCCTACATTGACCCACAGTATCACTCAGGGAACGACAGCCAAGATTCCTGTAAGGCGGAATTCTTCCAGGGGTCATTCCCACCTTGAAGACGGAGTAGAAACGGGTGAAGGCTGGTTGCTCTCAGAAACTCCATTTCCAGGGGAACTATGGTCACTGTCTCCGTTGTTGCTCCATGACATGTTTGCCTCTCCCTCAAATTCTTGCCCAGACATAATTCTCTCAATCTCTTCCTCCGATATCTGTCAAACACAGGACCATTAGGTTACTTCAGCTGAGAACAGAAATAAGGCAGAGCCCCTGTACATGAACACCCTGACCGTACAGCCACATCCAACAGAGCTGAAACCACCCTGCACCAGGAAAAAGGCTTCGCCGTCCCTGCAGGTATCACGTCTTTCCTTTACACTTAACAACGCACATGAAAAAAATCTATTTACAGCTAATCGTGGTGACCTCCAGTGCCTGCAGTGCAATTCGAGTGACGATAACACAGCAGATGGGAAGGGACAGATGAAAAGATGATGTCAAACACGCACGGCGACGAGCCGTAAATCAGCTGCTGTCACACGGTGAAAAACCTGGGAGTAATGGAGGCCAGTTCATCGGGAACATCACTCAGTACCCCGCAGAGGTACAGGCACACAGAAGGTGGGGTAGGCTCCAGTTGGATACAGCAATTGAGAGAGGCAAGGTGACATACATAAAATCAGTCAGGAAAACGTTTACAGGGAAGCATTGGTCACTATTTTTCCCCAGATAAGAACCAGGTGGCACCTAAAGAAGTAATCGAACATCTAATACCTAAAACAAGTATTAGAGAGTAATAGATATGAAGCTAAAATGGACTAAAAAAAGTATAAACTTTCAAGAAAGAGCTGGGTATGCTCCTGGAGAAATCTGGCATCAGTACTAGGGATACTGCAACATCAAAGTTCCTGGGGTTTTTTTTTTGATTTTTTAGTTCCGTGCGTGTCCCTTAGTGAGGCTGGCCCAAAATACAGAACGACCTCGAGTTAACATGCTGCAAGAAAGTGCAGTGAACTCTGAACATCATTTTCAAGAGCCAAACATTGCTTAGACAGCTTATCCCAGTCTTGCAAAACTGTCAGAAAAACTTGGTAGGCTTACCCAGGTACAGAACCTGAGGAGTGCAATGGCTAAATAGCCTCACCCCAGGAAATGGAGCTGACGGCGTAAGCGATGGTCCAGCACTGACCGATCACACGAGTCTCGGATGAGCAACGGCCCGCTCTGGCTAGCACAGGCTGCTGGTTTACTACAGCTACATTGCTCGGAGAGGCAGTAAATATTGTTACCTGGCCAGAAATTAAATGTTTGTTCTTCCTTGATAGACCCACACAGGCTTTACAAATCCGTAACTGATGCTGTTATAAATATGATGCCTGCAAACAGCAGAAAACGTCCTATTGTTATGAAGAGCTTTTTTCATTATTTGAACCAAGCTCTCTGAGATGCTGCCCGCAGGCACGGCTGCACTAATTCTTGCCTCTTTCTTGGTTTGCTGTGGAGGACCTTACTGAGCAAGCAGGGAAACTGGTTGCTTGGCTTCTTATGGTTTGGTTTTGGCCTGGGATGAGTAGTCCCTTCATAGATACAGAGAGTCACAGAAAATGTTTTCCGTGTTATTTCTGTTTTATTAAAATAAATAGTAAACTTTTAAAAGACCACTTTTCTAGAAGCGAGCTGGAAATGGCCATCATTTCTCAGGCATGCAGTACAAGCTGTTGGGCTGAATTACCTCGCGCTTTACAAGACATCTCCAGCCAAGCTGTGCCATCAATCAGCGAGACATTTACTGGGTGCCCCGCTTGCAACAACTGAAGGGAATTGCAGCAGGCAGCCCGTGAGATTTACTGGGAGCTCCAGAGGGACAGACGTCCTTGTGCAGCTCACAAAGGACAGAGCACCGCGATGGCCAGAGACCGCCCGTGAATTCACATGGGCACCCTGGGACTGCGCCGCGTCCCCTCCAGGGACAAGCAAGCACTGAGCTTTATTTACAAATCTACTGTTCCTGACAGGTATTTCTAACGCTTGTGGAGAGTCAAAGCCCTGCTATGCCGGCAGGAGGCAAGGGCAGGGCTGAGGAGGGCTCAGTCAAATCAGCCCCAGCCCCATCCCACACCAAGCCGCTGCCTCCGTCCGAGCTCCCCACCCATGAGGCGTGTGCCAAGGGCAAGAGAGCAAAAGCTGAAGGGAACCACAGCAAAAGGGCCGGACATGCTCACCTGGACAGGTCCGATGCTTTTGTTTCTGCCTCCTGGCATGCCATCCTCTCTGATTGCTGAAAGAAAACAACCAAACCGTGGTGAGGAACTGTTCAGCATCCTAGAAATACATAAGAAAGTATCTGCTACTTTGAAAAAATCGTTTTATCTTAAAAGATTAATGTTGCTCGTCAAAGCAGTTTACACAGAAACCTCCAGTGCTTCCCAGGGCATTGGAGAGCTCGAGCAGCACACACCACGATCCTCACGCCAAAGGGCATGCGCACATCGGTGGGGTACAAGCGTTACTCAGGGAGCTGAGTTTCTTCATGCGATCCTTGAGTGATGGGTAACAAAGGAATAGCAGGTCCTTTATCACAATTAATTCCAGAATAATTTTAGAAGTGGCACAGGGAAAGCAACCCTACTTCACCGCTGGAAATAACCCAACGAATGCCCACGACTGCTAGAAAATGGAATGCGAGCGCCGGCATTTCTAACTCCACTGCCCACAGCCCTGTGAACCACCACGGGCCAGGCTCCGCCTGGGGAGACACCGACCGGCACTGCCGAGACAGAGCTAAAGCACTTTGGCGGTAAGGAGTAACGCCGCTGTCACTTCAGGGGGCTGCATCTCCTACAGCTACCACAGAACATGGAGGGGAGGTGTTTTACCCAGCCGGCTGCATGCAAAGCTGCTGTTTAAAATTTGAGTTACTAGACCGAGCGATGCAGGTTCATTTCGGAAGGGCAGCCGAGTTTCTCAATGCAGCAGATGCATTTTTAAGGCTCTTTAAACCATTTCCAGCGAGCTTGATTAAAGTCCAATTCGGGAGATTATCCTGAAGCTGCTTCTCTACCTTCCTCTTCCCCCTGCTTTTCTCTTTATTGGCAGAGCAGCTCTGCAGAAGCCGATGGCATTCAAAGACCAACGCTGCTCCTCGTGCGCCTCCCCTCCCGGGCCGGGTCCCCCCTGTTTATCAGGTCCCAATCTCTTTCCCACCACGACCTGGCCAGACTTGGCAGGAGGCTCTCCCCAGCTGCGCGGTGACCTTGCTGCTGCCGGCCGGCCTCACCCTGCTCGGCACACGGGGCTGCGGGAGGCCCTCCCGAAGCAGAAAATGGCACAAAATTTAAGGAAAAATTTCTGTACCAGAAAAGCCACACTGCTGCTTGATTTTAGATACCCTCAGCTCAAATCATCCCCGTCTGCCTCGGTGCTGCACTTGCAATTTGGGGATTACACGTGCGGGTTCCCCCAAGGCCATAGTAGCAGGGCAGAGCTACGCACGCGCTCGGATGCAAACTGCATTTTCCTGAATCGTAACCACCTCGGCAAGCAATGCAAGTCACCACCGTCCTGACGGCTTACAACTCCGCCAGCCCGTGACCAGCAGCACAGCGATCCCCGTGGCGCCTGACGACAACACGTTATGAGATTGGCAAAAAAACAGAGATCGACATAAAAAAACCTGAGATTGACATAAACCAGCTTATGGTTATCTTTTACATCACGCAAGTCTTTTAGGCTATCGCAAGACAACGATCTCATTTTAACAAACTTTATTTTCTATGAAAGCCGTTTCAAAAAACCCACTGGTTTCTCATTAAAAAAATGTGGCTGACGTAAAACTAAGCCGTCATGGTTAGCGCTCTGTTACTCCCTTCAGCTCCTTTTTTAACTTAATGGAACTACAGTAACAGTTTTTCAATTTGGGGGGAATTTCTCTAGTTTTCCAAGATATTTTATTGCCAATTGTGATTCAGAAAGCTTCTCAGCTAATTCCATCAAGAGCCATGGACATGAATTGTCTTGGTCTTTTGAATTCAAAGTGTAATTCTAGCAGACATTAGCGTACACCTTCCTTTTCTATGTCCACATCATCTTACAGAACGCCTTGGAAAATTTGTCTCTGCAGAGTTTACAGTTCTTCTTAACCCTGAAGACAATGTTGGTGGTCACCAGGCTGGTCTTTACTCTCCGGTGGCCTTCTGCCTTGCCCCCAGGCAGGCTGCAGCTCCCTGCTCCAGCTCCAGCAGAGCTGCCCTCCCTGCTGAAGGGCTCTGATGAGCCTTTCACAGCGGCAGACAGCACCAACGCCTGCACTCCCAACTCAAAGGCGTCTGGTGATACCTTTAACCCCGGTGTGCTAAGAGGAGGTTGTAGTTTGGCTGTGCAGGTCCCTGGAGCCGTGGGTGCCACTTAAACCAGAGCTCTATCCAAGGCACTGCCCAAGCCCATGCATATTATCTTTAAGACTGGTGATATTTTACAACAACTGGAGCTTAAATGAATCCCCTTACTCTTGAAACCATTACCAGCTCTCTGCTGGCCAGTGGTTTGATGTTCTCCAGGCCACCTTGCCAGACCCCGCAGGCACAGCGTCCGACGGCAAGATTTACAGGATAGACGCCGACTTCGTTTATTTTTGTAAACTCTTACAACTGTTCCTAGCCTACGTGGAAGAAAAAACCCCCACACCCGGGAGGTGCTCGGCAATACTTCGGATCTGCTGCGATACGTGACTAGGGTATCAGCAAAGACAAACACACCTTCTGCTGCGGAGCTCGGACTCTGTGGACCAGCACTGTTCCCCGCTGCCGACAGCGCGGGTTCCGAACCCCCCCGTCGCTCAGCACACTTGCGATACTTCACTTGCACAGGGTTTTTGGAAGCCTTGCTAGCTGCATAACCTAGCCAAGACCCGCAACAAAATGTAGGAATGTTTTTGCTGGTGGTCCATGAAAAAAGACTTCAAGAGACCTGGGTGGTTCTCACACACACACACATATGGACACACGGACAGTCTCCAGAAGAGCTGTCTTGGTACGGGGCTGCACAACAGCCAAAGTCTCCTCAGAGATTCTCCTTCAGATGTTAAGCTCTATGCCTTATCCGAATTCAGAACTGTATTTAGTCCTAGCCCTGCGGTGACTTTGCAGCTCAATTATGCCATCCTTTGGGCACCACGGCATGAAAATACCACAGAAAACGCGCCTTAACCTAGGACCTGCCGGGGAAAAAAGAAGAAAAAATAAGTGAGAAAGAAGGAGGCTGTGACACCTGGGCCCGGCACCTGCGTGAGCGGGGGGTTTGGGAGCTGGGCGCGCCTGCACCTCGCAAAGAGGAGCTCGGCGGCGGGGACGGGCTTGGCACGGTGGGCGCGGGGCGGGGTCCTCCCGAGCGCCCTCGC